GCCCCACAGAAGCCTCCCCTATCCTATCCCCTTCTCTCCCTCTGCCTTGCCCCACAAAAGCCTCCCCTATCCTATCCCCTTCTCTCCCTCAGCCTTGGCTCACAGAAGGCTCCCCTATCCTATCCCCTTCTCTCCCTCAGCCTTGCCCCACAGAAGCCTCCCCTGTCCTATCCCCTTCTCTCCCTCTGCCTTGCCCCACAGAAGCCTCCCTGTCCTATCCCCTTCTCTCCCTCTGCCTTGCCCCACAGAAGCCTCCCCTATCCTATCCCCTTCTCTCCCTCTGCCTTGCCCCACAGAAGCCTCCCCTGTCCTATCCCCTTCTCTCCCTCTGCCTTGCCCCACAGAAGCCTCCCCTGTCCTATCCCCTTCCCTCCTTCAGCCTTGCCCCACAGAAGCCTGCCCTATCCTATCCCCTTCTCTCCCTTAGCTTTGAGGAAAATGCTCTTTCTCATTTTTCTTGGAATAATGCTAACCCGTCTTAAGGGGTGTTATAATTATGTTAAGACAGTAGAAGAGAAGTTGCCTGAACAATGAACAACACGATTCATATTCTTAATATAGTACAATATTACCTTTTATTCCGCTGCTGCAAAATGTACCATCTAATCATTCTCTTCTCCTGGTGCATAACCCTACCTCTTTAAAACATTTGTGTAGGAAGAAGGTTAAGTCACGGAGAGCAAGAGTGAAAAATAGAAATAGTTACAAACCACATTTGTTCACAAGAAATAAGCGAAGCAAACTACAGCAGGCTCACTCCAGGTAGCTAATAATTCTAGAATTTTGTGAAATATTTCCATTTAAAAAAAAACACCATACACTCTTGAAAAAACAACAAAGAAAGAAGAAAGAACATTTTATCTCAGTCTCCCAAATACTCTTCATATGTTCCTGGTTCTTCTTTGTCTTTTGAAGCCTTTACAAGGATACATTTATCTGAAATTGTGAGATTACTTTTCCCTTTTTAAAAATGTTTTAAAATATGCTACCTCCCCAGCTGGGTGTCTAACAAGTAGATGATTTTATGGAACTCAAAGGAAAAGCTCTCTAAACTATCAAACCAATCCATCCTTTAGGGTTTCATGGACCAGATAACACTTTCTCTGGAACTTGCTTCTCCTTTGCAAGTGTTGATTTAACTGAGAACTTGCCCCTTTAGAAATAGCTTATGAAGAAAATCAGAGATACAGGTAGTCCTCGACTTACGACAGTTCATTTAACCATGGTTCAAAGTTACAGTTTGATGATGTTGAAAAAAAGTTACTTACAACACATCCTTGCACTTATGGCTGCCACAGCAACCCAGTGCTCATGTGATCATGATTCAGGAGCTTGGCAACTGGCATGTATTTGTATGACCCAGGTTGTCTAGACCAGGGATCAAACTCAAGGCCTGGGGGCCAGATTTGGCCCATGGGGTGCTTAGATCTGGCCGACGGGGCCGCCCTGGAAACAGCGAAGGACCACCTGTGGTGCCTTTGCCAGCAAAAATGGAGCTTGGGAGGGCCGCATGCTCCGTTTTTGCTGGCAGAGGGTTGCAGGAGACTGTCCTAGCTGAAAACAGAGCTCACAAGGGCCATGTGTGGCCCCCTGAGCGCCGTTTTTGCTAGCAGAGGGTTGCAGGAGGCCATTCCAGCTGAAAATGGAGCTCGGGAGCCAGTTTTCACTGGCAGAGCGCTCAGGCCAGCACAGGCACCCCCGATACAACTGACATCAAGCTTGCCACACTCCTCTGACCACCACCACCCCCCGAGGTCAAACACAATCCTGCTGCGTCCCTCAATGAAATTGAGTTTGATACCCCTGGTCTACACAGATGCAAGCTGCAATAAAGTCCTTTGTTGCCATGCTATCCCATGGCAAATGGCCTTACAATGGCCCGTAAAGCTCCATCCCAAACTTTCCCGAAGGCAACCACCCACAGTCAGCGCAACACAGTCCCACAAACTAAAGCTAATAATCACCAGAGGCAATTCAAGTAGTGGGTTTCAATTTCGCTTGCTATTGGTTCGCTCGTGGGTGCACATGCGCATGCGCAGAGATGTGCGGGTGGGTGGAGCTTCCCGCTGCCACCGCTACCGGTTTGCCTGATCCACGGCGAACCGGTAGCAACCCACCACTGGGCGATTCACAAGGCAAGGAGGAAGTCTGTAGTCCAGAAACAGGATGCAAGTCCACAAGTCAAGGTCTGTAAGTCATAAACAAGGTTCAAAATCCACAGGGCAAGGTCACGAGTCCTCAAGCAAGGTTCAGTACCCAGAGGCAGAAACATGGTCCAAAGCAGAGTTTTTCCAAGGCTGGGGAAATGTGTGCCAAAGCAAAAGACTTGTTCCTGATGAAGACACCCTCACCTGGCCTCTGATTAAATCAGCTCAAGCCAGGTGTTCCTTGTGAGGAGGGGCAGGGTGGCCTCCTCACCAGCAGCCTTGCAGACCTCCTCTGAGCTTGCCTCCGCTCCACTCTCCGTGCCCTCGGATCAATTGGGGGAGGTAGCTGTTCCTCATCAGAGGGAATCTGCTACTTCTCCTCCCCACTGCCTGTCTGCAGCTGATCCTCCTTTGTGTTTGTGAGGGCAGGCAGCTCCCCGTCTGGTTGACCACCTCCCCCAATGTCGAAGCGGCCTGGGACAGCATCATCTTCAGCCCATGGACTATCCAAACATTCCAGAGGAGACATGCCATCCCCATGGGATGGCCCTGGTTCCAACTCTTCCTCCTCCAAACCAGGATCTGTTGGGCCATGACAGTATTTATGATGGTCGCAGTATCCATCCAGGGTCATTGACTGCCATTTGCAACCTTCCTGAGACCTTTCAACAAGCAAAATTTTGTTGAAGGAAGTTGGATTCTTTTAGTGGCTGTTGATTCACTGAACTGCAGTGATTTGCTTAACCGATAGCCTCCCACCGACCAGTACGCTCCCACAGAGAGGGACTCCTCAGGGTGCCGTCAGCCAGGCAATGTCGGCTGGCGACCCCCAGGGGGAGGGCCTTCTCTGTGGCAGCTCCTGCCCTCTGGAACGATTTGCCCCTGGAGATAAGAAGGATATTGGATCTCCGGGTCTTTCGCCGTGGCCTGAAAACTTTTCTTTTCCATCAAGCAGGGCTGGTGTGAACCCCCCCCTTTTTTTTAGTTTTTTAGCTTTTTAGCTTTTAATCTGTCAATGGGTTTTAATTCGAATTGTTTTAAATTTGGGCCAAAGTATGTAATTCTTTTAATAATTTTAAATTTTGTATTGGTATGTGTTTTAGTTCTGGCTGTGCACCGCCCTGAGTCCACTAGGAGAAGGGCGGTATACAAATTGAATAAAATAAATAAAATAAATAAATAAACAACCACAGCAAAAACGTTCAGTGCCAGATCTTGACTGTAGAAGACACAACATTGAAACTGAGGGAGTTGTATAGAGCTGGTGGTCAGGATTATTTCTGCCAACCATGTGCCCAAAATGAGAATTCAAGGAGGGGAAGGATTTTAAATCTTTCTTGAAAATTGCACTGTTCCTATCTGTCTGAATTCAGTACAGGTGCAAAACGTTTCCCATTAGAATTTCAAATCATTAGATATGGCTTGAATAATATGCGTTGTTACATACAGAAATGGAAAAGGCCTCCAATTTAAACAAATCAAAAGTATTGTAGTTCTGATGAAGACCCACTTGAGTAGAAGGAACACGTCTCTTTCTTTCTCTCCCCCCTGTCTGTGTAACATCTATTGATTGAAACATTTTCAATCCTGACTTTATAAGGCCAACTGAATTTGTCAAGCCACTAAGGCAAAAACAAAAATTGAATGATACACAGAAATAGTTGGGTTGTTTATCCCTCAAGCGCTTGGTCTACAAGATTTTGAACAAAGCAACTAAGCATCATCAACCATAAATCATTTTAGCAGCATCAAATCAGGGAAAATGGACCTTCATTCCAACCAGAGCTGCAACAAAATAGTCCTTCTATAATTTGCATGGTCCTTAAAGGACCAAACATATTCACTGGACCAGAACCCCCCACAGGGACCAGCACTTTCATCAAAGGGATGAAAGCAACATCACACTGTTGCAATGAAAGCCCCCAATCCTTTTGTATGGCCCTGCAACATTGTGACACACATATGAAAGAGATGGAGCTTGCATACCATTCCTTTCATCCTTTGCCCCTTATTCATCCCATAAATGCCCTTGACGAAACATTTTCATTTTCTTGCATTTCCCCAAATATTTACATAATTATGATACTGCCTCAACATCCCCTATTGTTTAGTATTACTATGCCATCTTTAAAACTTTGGCTTGCCCACATATATCCTCCTGCTGCTCCCTTTCCTTCTTTCCTTCTTTCTTTCTTTCTTCCCTCCCTCCCTCCCTCCCTCCCTCCCTTCCACAATTTTATTTACTTTTATCATTTGGTGTGCTATACCAAACCTCTCATTTTTCTTTAAAAATTCTATTTATTTATTAAATTTATATGAATCTATATGAATAAATTGTATTTATATCTATAACACCACTATCTGTAATCTAGCCTGTTCCCACAGAGAATCAGTTGAATTATCACATCCAATTTCTCATAATGGAGTATATTGTATTTATCAGGCTTTCAAGTCAATGCCATGCCTTCTATATATGCAGAGATTTTGAAACTTGTGTATGATTTTCAGGTTTTAGTGTAAATGTGTATACATGTGTTTGAGGCAAGGTAAATGTTGCAAATCCAATAGAACGGCAGGAGGGAAGAAAATTGTGTATTCAGTATGAATTTAATTGTGCCTTTTATCCCAGTGAATTTGATCACCATAATGTGACAATTGTTTCTCCCTGATTGTTCAATTAATGGCTGTTTTTCTCTATTCTTCTCATGTTCTCCTCCCATCATTCTTATTCTCATACATTTAACGCATTGTGATGTGCATCTCACTGGCGGTTGCTTTGTCAATTTATTTGACTATTCCACATCTTTGTTTTTAATTTGTGGTATGCTCATTTTTGGTGGCTTTGTGACCCAGATCCCATTGACCCATTAGAAGTTGATTTTTATCCTTTGCTTGATGATTTCCCTACCTCAGTCCCAGATATCTCCACCCCCATGCTCCCACCAGTAGGTGTCCAGGCGGTTGCATTAACCCATGATGCTGTGCGGGTCAGCTGGGCAGACAACTCCGTTCCCAAGAACCAGAAAACCACCGAGGTTCGGTTTTACACAGTGCGATGGAGAACCAGCTATTCTACAAATGCTAAGTACAAGGTGAGACCTTGGAAGTCATTGTTTCCTCAACCTTTATCTGGATTTGTTTGAGATGGACAGTTCATCACATATTCCACAATTCCAGAAGCAGAGAATACTGTAATCTAGACCAGGGGTCTCCAACCTTAGCAACTTTAAGACTTGTGGACTTCAACTCCCAGAACTCTGGGAATTGAAGTCCACAAGTCTTAAAGTTGCCAAGGTTGGAGACCCCTGATCTAGACCACATGGTTTAGGTCAGTCTGACCTAAGCATAGTACATAAAATTATCTGCCACAATGTTCTTCCTGTCAATGACTACTTCAGCTTCAACCACAATACATGAGTAAATAATAGATACAAACTCAAGGGAAACAGTTCCAAACTCGATTGCAGAAAATATGACTTCAGTAACAGAGTGGTCAATGCCTGGAATGCACTACCTGACTCTGTGGTTTCTTCCCCAAACCCCCAAAACTTTAACCTTAGACTGTCTACTGTTGACCTCACCCCATGCCTAAGAGGTCTGTAAGGGGCGTGCATAAGTGCACCAGCGTGCCTTCCGTCCCTGTCCTAATCTTCCTATTTACTCTTACTCTTTTCATGTATTCCAATTATGTTTATACTTTTACCTGTTATCTTATATATGCTTGACAAATAAACTTATGATAGGATTATATGAATATTACAGGAGCCATTAGAGCCATCAATAGTTTAGATAGGAAACCAATAATGGTCTTGCATGAACAAGATGTAAACCATAGAAATATGGGATCCTTGATGCTCTCTGAGCTTGGTGGTTTTCTTGCAGACATTTCCTGACCAAACTAGGTAACATCATCAGTACTACTTTAGTTTCATTACCTAGTTTGATCATGAAACATCTGCAAGAAAACCACCAAACTAGAGAGCACCCAGGACCCAACAGTTCAACCCTGCACTATAAATATTCTCTTCTATCAATATTGAATCACTGTTAACAATTTGTAAATACATTGACTGTTGGTGATGGATAAATCTGTCAAAATAAATTTTGCTCATATTCTCTTATCTATCCTTTTTCCAAATTAGTGTATAATTTGAAACTGGGAAAATCACAAGCACATCTTTATTTAATATAAATATTTTTGTCCGTGCTTCCCATGATATACACATTTTTTTTTTGCCTTTTCTAGTTTAAACATTTTTTTTTTCAAAACTTCATTTATTCAGGGTGCTGTAAACTGAATTGCAAATTAAGAAAAAAAAATGTGGACATAAATCTGTGCTTACTTTATTTTATTGCTGTAGAATAAGACCAAAGAAATATACGTGTAGAAAAAATATAGTATATAAATAATTCCAGCTCCTGTATAATTTTTGGGAAGTACAACCTGGCTGTATTGCAAGCCAAAGCATTGAGAAGCACATTGCAGTCTCATACAGTCATAATTCTGTGATCGGAAAGAGAAAATAGAAACCAAAAATGCAGCTGTCCTTGCATACTATGTATATTTTTGGCAATTTTCCTTTTCAGCTAATGCCAAGAGTGAGAAATGTGTCTGGCCACAGATGACTGATTTTAGTCATTACTACAGCATTTTATATACTATCTGTCAGTGGTTCAGAAGATAACAAAATTTAGTTCAAAACAAAATGAAAACCTAAAATCAGAAGGAAAAAAAGGTCTATCCAAAACTAATCAGTATCTAGGAGTCTCTATTTTAATTTCCTCAATAACATCTCCATCTGCGCATGAATAAAGAGCCATGGTGGCGCAGTGGTTAGAATGCAGTTTTGCAGGCTAACTCTGCCCACTGCTAGGAGTTCAATCCTGACAGGCTCAAGGTTGACTCAGTCTTCCATCCTTCTGAGGTTGGTGAAATGCGGGAGACAGACTGTTGTGGGCAATATGCTGACTCTGTAATCTGTTTTGAGAGGGCTATAAAGCACTGTGAAGTAGTATATAACTCTCTACGTGCTATTGCTATTGCTATAAAGATGATTGAGGAAAATCATTATTCTTGACATACGTGTAAAGGAAGAAGGGGTTTTTCACTTGTTCTTCTCCACCAAAAAGGGAACATTTTATGATATTAACTGAAGTAGGAGCCTTGGTAGTACAGTGGTCTAAAGCACCCTGTTATTAAGACCAGCTGCCTGCAATTACTGCAGGTTCGAATCTCGCCAGGCTCAAGGTTGACTCAGCCTTCCATCCTTTCTAAGGTAGGTAAATTGAGGACCCAGTTGTGGTGGCAATAAGCTGACTTTGTATAAATATACAAAAGGATGAAGGCTATTGCTTAGCACATTGTAAGCCACCCTGAGTCTCCGGAGAAGGGCGGCATATAATCAATTTTTTTTAAAAAAAAGTAAGGTTTATCTGTGGGCAGTTGTCTTCCTGAAAATGTCCAAAGATTTTAATAGTACGGGTGATATGTAGTATGTAGTCAAAATAACATTCCTTTCTCAGAGAGTCAAGGACGCATTGCCCTGGCACCTGGAGTCGGATGACTGGGAGGTGTCTCCAGTTTGGACTGTGGATGATTGGACCATGTGATGGACATGAGGGTGTTGGGCAGGGACTTGAACTTTCACTTGGGTGAGGAAAACCTGGAAACTTTCAGATTCGGGTTTTTCCAGATGTGCCAATATGACATCTTCAATAAAAAGGAACCTTGAGGAACCTCAAGCCTTGGAGTTTTCTTTCGTTGGGGGTGTTACTTGGAACCCTGACACTAGCATCTTCACCACTATACCAAACTGGCTCTCCAATATAATTGCCTCAATTAGAACCTTCTGCTGATTTTGGGGGAGTTTGAGTCATCTTTGAATCATTGATGATTCCTGGTGACTGTTTGGACTAATGGTGTCTTACACCATTACATCAAACTGCCTTTCTCTAAGTATTCATGCCCAAAATAAATACAAAGTACCGTATTTTTAAGAGTTTAAGATGCTCGGGACTATAAGATGCACCTACCTTTTTTGGTGAGGAAAACAAGAAAAAGAAATCTGCCTCTTCCTCTGCCTCCCAGCAATTTTGTCTCATTGCAGCAACAGCAAATAGTCTGCTTTACTTTCATTTTCGTTTTCAGCATAGCTTGATTAGCACAAGAAAAAAAAATCTGCTCCCAGCAATTTACCTCCTTGCAGCAAGCAGCAGAGGCCCGCCCAAAACAGCTAAGAGCAAAACAGCTGAGAGCAAAACAGCTGAGAGTCGGGAGGCTGATCCAATCAACTTGTGCTAATTAGGCTGTGCTGAAGTTGAAAGGAGCTGTTTCTTCTTGCTGCTTGCTGCAAGGAGGTAAACTGCTGGGAGGCAGAGGTCAAAGGATGGGGGCCAGTGGGTGGGCGGGGCTACATTTGGTGTATAAGACACACCTAAATTTTCATCCCCTTTTAGGGGGGAAAAAGGTGCATTTTATACTCCGAAAAATACGGTAGATTTCTTCTGAAAATCTGAATTTAAGAAAAGCCAAGTTGTATCACACCAAAGGCTTCTTCATACAATGGTCAATGACCTATGAGAAGCCTACAAGCAGGATATGGAGTCAATAGTCCTTTTTTGGCTGTTGCTTTCCAGGAACAGTTACACTTTGAATCCTAATGGTATAGTAGCTATGGATACTATTGAAGTATTTCATTGGATAGGATAGATAATAAAAATGGTTGTGACTGGTATGGCTTTCAAATTTATCTGAAAATTCATGAGGACACGTGATGTTCTTTCAAAGAAATCTGAGATTTCAGTTTATTTTACATTATCATATTACTTACGATAATCCCTAATCATAAGGGATTTATCAATATCAAAAAGTCTCATAAAATATGACTAGTTCCCAAGTCTGACCTATGCTCACGTATGTTCTGTATGCCAAATTTGGTCCACTTTGATTAATTTAAAAACACTCGTACAAATGTCATGCTTATGTGTACAATAGGAATAGCTCTTAGACTTATATATCACTTCACAGTGCTTTTACAACTCTTTCTAGGTGGTTTACAGAATCAGCCTATTGCCCCCAACAATCCGGGTCCTCATTTTACCCACCTCGGAAGGATGGAAGGCTGAGTCAACCTTGAGCTGGTCAGGATTGAACTCCTGGCTGTGGGTGGAATTAGCCTGTGATACTGCATTCTAACCAGCCCTAGTATAATGATTTATTTTCATTTACTTGATTAAATATGTATGAAGGTTGCTCAGACTGGTCTTCTTGAAAAGAGGTTCCAGCAAAGATTTGAAAATGCCTTCATTTAAGTGAATGCCATGGACTGAAATGGTGGCTCCCTAGGTGGCTCAGTGGCTAAGACTCTGTTGATCAGAAAGGTCGGCAGTTCGAATCCCTATTATAGGTCTCCTGCGTGAGCAGGGCGTTGGACTAGATGACCTCCAAGGTCCCTTCCAACTTTGTTACTGTTACTTCAAATCACATTTTACAGGATGCCAAAAAAAAAATGCCTGTGCTTTTTCATTGTTGTTCCTTTAAAGAATAGCAATGCATTTTTTTTTACACATTATTGCATTGCTAAAAGTTACTCTTTTTTTAATCTAATCTACTCTCCCAAGTTTGACACCCTTTCAGCTCTTCCAGGAAGCAAAGTGGGAAAAGAAGAACCTGGGATGAAGTACAAGGGTTTTACTGCTACGGAGCGCTGCTCATTTATTTTAAAAGAGACTTTTATTTACTTTCATATCCTTCTCTTGCCTATCTTACCTTGATAGTCTCTATCCTGAAGACAATTCAGAGTAAGGAGAGATGTCAGCCTGATATTTTATAGCAACACGAAACAGAAGAATGGAAAACAGAAGTCGTCAGAAGGGGGCTTTGTTCCTTAGAGAAGGAGGGAGGGAATGGAGGGAGGGAGGGAGGAAGAAAAGAGAAAGGGAAAGAGAGAGGAAGGAAGGAAAGAAAAAAGAAAGAAAGAGAAAGAAAGAGAAGGGAGGGTAGGAGGGAGGGAGGGAGGAAGGAAGGAAGGAAGGGGAAAGGGAAAGGGAAAGAGGGAGGGGGAGGGAGGGAGGAAGGAAGGAAGAAAGAAAAGGAAAGGGAAAGAGGGAGGGAGGGATGAAAAAAAGAGAACGGGAAAGAGGGAGGGAAGGAGGAAGGAAGAAAGAAAAGAGAAAGGGAAAGAGGGAGGGAGGAAGAAAAGAGAAAGAGAAAGAGGAAGGAAGGAAGGAAAAAAGAAAGAAAAAGAAAGAGAAGGGAGGGTAGAAGGAAGGAAGGAAGAAAGAAAGAAAGGGAAAGAGGGAGGGAGGGAGGGAAGAAGGAAGAAAAGAGAAAGGGAAAGAGAGGGAAGGAGGGAGGGAGGAAGGAAAGAATGAATAAATAAATAAATGAACTTCCTTCTCCATTATAACTCATAATGACAATTTTGTGACATAGCAGTAAGCCATCTAAGGCTGACAGATTCAGGGCAAAAAAAAAAATAATAATCACTAGGAATTCAACTGGTTCATTCATAACAAAGCCTTGAGTGTTATCCCTGGAGATGACAGAATTGTAGAAGCAGGAGCTCAATCAAGAAGAGGTTGACCACCATGATTAATAGTGATGCCTAATGGTTTCAGACACAAACCATTTTTGAGTTTGGATCAAGTACAATAAATCAAGAACCTCACAGGAATGGAAAGTTTTGAGGGAAATGAAAAATGTGGGAGAAATGGTCTCTTTAGTGGCCTCCAGTATGATTGAGCTTTAAAGACACATTTTTTTAAAAAAATTATTTTCTTTCTAGTCAGCAGATACAACAGCCTTGAGCCATACCGTGCCTGGTCTTAAGCCAAATACCATGTATGAGTTCTCTGTCATGGTGACCAAAGGTCGGAGGTCAAGTACATGGAGCATGACAGCTCATGCTACAACATATGAAGCAGGTAGGTCTCTAGAAAGATTCTAATAAGGTTTTTTTTATCCAGATTTGATGCTGAATCTGCTTTTCTGCAATTTCCATCCATTATTTTGTGTCCTGTTTTCTGAGATGAGAAAGAAGTCTTGATTTGCTTTTGCCTCATTATCTTTGTAGGCATTTGAAGAGTGCTAACAGTTGCTTCCTCAGCTGTCTTTATTTTAAAAGTAGACATTTCCAATTCCTTCACATCCTCATTGGGAGGACCTAATTTCTCATCTCCTGGTCATCCTCATTGCTTTGTTTTGTTACCGGGTCTACTTTGTCGGAATCCTTTTTAAAGGTGTCCAGATCTTAACACAAATACTCAAGGTGGGACTGAACAATGAAGGGAGGGAGCATTTTTTGTGATCTGGGCACTTTGATTGATTAACCCTAACACTGCATCAGGGGTGAAATCCAGCAGGTTCTGACAGGTTCTGGAGAACCTGTAACAGAAATTTTGAGCAGTTCGGACAGCCGGTAGTGGAAATTTCGAGTAGTTTGGAGAACCGGCAAATACCACCTCTGGCTGGCCCCAGAGTTTTTTTGGTTTTTTTTTAAAATTTGATTTATATGCCGCCCTTCTCCAGAGACTCAGGGTGGCTTACAATGCGCTAAGCAATAGCCTTCATTCTTTTGTATATTTATACAAAGTCAGCTTATTGCCCCCACAACTGGGTCTTCAATTTACCTACCTTAGAAAGGATGGAAGGCTGAGTCAACCTTGAGCCTTGGCGCGATTCGAACCTGCAGTAATTGCAGGCAGCTGGTCTTAATAACAGGGTGCCTTAGACCACTGTACTACCAAGGCTCCAAGAGGGAGGTGGGAATGGAGATTATGCAATATTCTTCCCCCAGGAGTGAGGTGGGAATAGAGATTTTGCAGTATCCTTTCCCTGGAGTGGGGTGGGAATGGAGATTTTGCAGTATCCTTCCCCTGGAGTGGGGTGGGAATGGAGATTTTGCAGTATCCTTCCCCAGGAGTGAGGTGGGAATGGAGATTTTGCAGTATCCTTCCCCTGGAGTGGGGTGGGAATGGAGATTTTGCAGTATCCTTCCCCTGCCATGCCCACCATGCCACGCCCAGAGAACCAGTAGTAAAAAAAAATTGGATTTCACCACTGCACTGCGTATATATCTTTTTGCAGCCACTTCACACCACCGAGATATATTTAGTTTGCAATACAATACTGTTCCAAAATCTGTCTCACAAGTACCACTCACAGGTACTTTTATCCCTCAGTTATTTGATTTCTCTTTCTGAAGTGAAGAATTGTACATTTTGCTTGATTAAAATTCATTGTATTATTGTCGGCTTATTTTTCTAAGCTAAAGAGAAAAAAATATATATATTAGTGATCTCATTCAGTCATGTCATCTTCAGATCTGATCGGTATTTTCTCCAGCTCTTCATCTTAGTCATTAATAATAATAATAAAAAAATAATACAAATGTGTCCAGGGCATAAGACTGAACTCTGGGATAACAAAGTCATTGGATCTTTTTAGTCCATTGACAAATCTTTCATAAGCACTCTTTAAATATAAGTTTCAAACCAACTTTGAGATTGTTGTATAATAATACAAATTAAAGAAAAGAAACCAATGATACATTATATATAGGTGTGTCCCACATCCTGCTCAGGGTGTCTTGTCTGTAAGCAACCAAGCACAGAGATCCTAGGGTTTATATATAAGGTAGTCCTTGAATTACAACCATTCATTTAATTACCATTCAAAGTTACAACAGTGCTAAACAAAAGTGGTTTACAACCAGTCCTCACCCTTACGACCATCATAGTGTCCCTATGGTCACATGATCAAAGTTGGCCACTTGGTAACTGGCATATTTTTATGGTAACAGCAACCTGGACTCATGTGATCACCTTTGATGATCTTCCCTGAGGATTTCCAACAAATCAATGGGGAAAACCGGATTCAGTTAATGACTGCATGATTTGCTTAACAACCACAGCAAAATGGGTCATAGAATTGGGTGCAAGTCACTGAACAACCGCATCACTTAGTGAAGGAAGTACCAGTCCCAATTGTGGTCATAAATCAAGGACTACCTATAGGCTAGGACACAAACTTCCAAAGTTTTGGGATTAATATTTTTTTTTAAAAAAAACCTTGTTATTTGACAATCAGCTACAGCCTCCCCTGTGCAATTTCAGGATATTTTTGCTCTAATGTGGAATTCAATTTTTTTAAAAAATAATTTAACTATTATCTTGACTTGTGCAAATTCAACTGTGCAAGTTGTGGGCGCTTGCTTAGATTCTTGGAACAAGAGCAAATATCTGTTTCGATTGGTACTGGGCTCTTTGATTTCCTGAATGAGGCTATTGTTGTTGTTAAAAGTTTGCACAAAACCAACCCAATGAGCTGAGATTGTCCTTATAGGAAAAGCATCAACCTGGATTAAATTTAGCATGTCGGATGAATGCAGCTGCCAAAAAAAAAACAGGATTTACATTCGGAAGCTGAGAATTCCTACTAAGCATTGCTATGAATGTGTTTGGTTAATTAGGATCATACAGGTTTTTTTAAAAAAATAAGAGCTTGACGTTCCAAAGTTGAGAACATGTTAACAGCTTCTGCACTGTCCTTGCTTAAGAATGTCTTGATTAGCAATAACAGCAGAGGTGGGATTCAGCTGGTTCTGTCCTGTTCGGGTGAACCGGTAGTGGCGATTGTGGGAGGCTCCGCCCACCTGCCCAGATGTAATGCGGGAGCACTGCGCATGCACAGTGGAGGTGTGTGTGATTGAAGCACACGCATGCACACTCATATTTGCAAACCAGTAGGGAAGGTAAGTGAATCCCACCTCAGAATAACAGTAAGAATGTCTAGTTTGTACAACACTTCATGGTACGGTAGATTGTATCGTTATTGTATTAATGTGTCATCTTCTGTGGGTTTTTTTCCCCCCCTCTTCTGGGCTTCTGTCTTTCTCTAAGCCCCGACCTCTGCTCCCAAGGATTTGACAGTCATTACCCGTGAAGGGAAGCCTCGGGCTGTAATTGTCAGCTGGCAACCTCCGTTAGAAGCCAATGGGAAAATTACCGGTAAGTGTCTCTTGAGCTCTGTATCTTCTCTCCTTCTCAGCAGGTGACACAGAAAAGTGTGGGATTTAAAAGGTCTGCACCACAACCCCTTACTGGGAACGACCATGTAAACTCGCTAGGTGAAAAGGGAAGGTGGGGGAAATACCATATTTTTCGGACTATAAGACACACTGGAGTATAAGATGCACCAATCTCAGATGGGAGGCTGTTCCAATTGATTTATTTTTGGATTGATTAACCTCCATAAATCTGCACATCCATTGCAACAGAAGTGCATATGGTATCGTTGTGCAATTCAGGAAGAATAAATAAGGAAAAAAGCCACGTCTTTCATACGAACTGTTAATTCTCAGCACTTTAATACAGAACATCTAGCAGTATCCTCATTAATATAGAATATACTCAACTCTAATTTTATAGAGCTCTAGGTTTTCAGAACTCACTGATTCTCCTCCTCCTCTTTAAGTCTAAAAGTTCTCTCTGTTTCCTATTTTAAGTCTCACCAATCCTGTCCACCAATGTAGTGTGCATCTGTTTTTTTTCCCCAAAAATTGACATTTCATACATCTGAAATTTTATTTCATTAATGATAGGTTTCAAAAACTTATTTGATGTTTCAGCGCTCATCACTTTCTATACTACTTACCATTTAGATCTGATTCAAGTTCACTGTAGAACAAGTTTTCAACTTCTTGCAAAGCCATAATTAACAAGCACGGGGCTGTTACATATTTAGAACACCATGTTCTTAAAAATAAACCTTAGGCAGCAGAATCTGAGGGTTAAATGCTTCCAAGTCTCATTTAAATAATTTCTTATTTAGTGCTAGCAATGAGTTGAGTCATCTTTCTTTGGGATCTACTGAGCCAGCAATATGGGGTGATCTATTCATAGTTAGACGGCCCTGCTTTTTAAGTTTGTGACAGATGGTGCAGAAAATAGATAGAAGAAATAACAAGCTGATCATCACACATGGCAGGTGGTTGCATTCAAGTTTGGATTTATGACATTTCATTTAGTTTAGTTACCTTCAGTCCAGTTCTCTGGTAAAGGCTGAGATGGATCCCAAAAGCTAAACCAAGCTTATTACATCAGTAAGGTAAAGGTAAAGGTTCCCCTCACACATATGTGCTAATCATTCCCAACTCTAGGGGGTGGTGCTCATCTCCATTTTAAAGCCGAAGAACCAGCGCTATCTGAAGACGTCTCTGTGGTCATGTGGCTGGCATGACTAAACACCAAAGGCACATGGAACGCTGTTACCTTCCCGCTAAAGGTGGTCCCTATTTTTCTACTTGCATTTTTTACGTGCTTTCGAACTGCTAGGTTGGCAGAAACTGGGACAAGTAACGGGAGCTCACCCCGTTATGCGGCACTAGGGATTCAAACCGCTGAACTGCCAACCTTTCGATAGACAAGCTTAATGTCTTAACCACTGAACTACCGTGTCTCTATCCTTACATCGGTAGTTTTACAATAAAAGATTAGACAAACTGAATGCAAAGTAAAAGGTCTCTGCCCTCTAGTGAAATATTTATTTTATCCCATCTTTATTATTTTGATATATAACTTAAGGTGGCTAACATACCCAATATTCCTTCCTCCCATTTTTCTCAGCAACTGTGAGATGAGTTGGGCTGAGAGAGAGTGACTGGCCCAATGTCACCCAGACAGCTTTCATGCCTAAGGCAGAACTAGAACTCACAGTCTCCTGGTTTGTAGCCTGGTGCCTTAACCATTAAACCAAACTGGCTCTCTAGTTTTAACACCAGAAGTTTCTTTAGGAAAAGAGTTACCTTTGATATTGCCAAAAAGGCATTAAGAGTTAACCTAATCTTGCGTAGCTTCATCTATGGTAATATTGAACTCCTAACTAGAGCATACAAAACATTTGCTAGACCAATTTTCAAATACAGCTCATCTGTCTGGAACCCACACTGCATATCGGACATTAATACAATTGAGAGAGTCCAAAGGTATTTCACGAGAAGAGTCCTCCACTCCTTTGCTCACAACAGAATCCCTTATGCCACCAGGCTTGAAATTTTGGGCTTAGACAACTTAGAACTACACCGCCTTCGGTCTGACCTAAGTGTAGTACACAAAATTATCTGCTACAATGTCCTACCTGTCAATGACTACTTCCGCTTCAGCTGCAATAATATACAAGCATACAATAGATACAAACTTAAGGTAAACCGCTCCAAACTCGATTGCAGAAAGTACGACTTCAGCAACAGAGTGGTCAATGCCTGGAATGCACTACCTGACTCTGGTTTCTTCCCCAAACCCCCAAAACTTTAACCTTAGACTGTTTACTGTTGACCTCACCCCATTCCTAAGAGGTCTTTAAGGGATGCATAAGTGCACCAACAGGCCTACCGTCCCTGTCCTAATGTTCCCTTTTTATTCATATCCATTTCATGTATTCATAAAATCTTATCTTATATATGCTTGACAAATAAATAAATAAATAAAAATCTTAACTCAAGGCAGTTGAGCAGGAACTTGATCTGAAATGGAAATGGACATATGCCATCAGTTCAAAACAGCATAATAGGCTTTACGTTCCTAAATCAGTTCACGATGTAGCTTTTTCACTCTCTGGGCTAACTATATTTTATTGAATTCAGAGCTGACCTTCAGCAATCATACAGAAACATACCATTGATATCCATTGAAGTTGACTTCGATTATGGAATCTCAGGGTCAGGACCCCTTTTTGAAGGAGAAGCTCTTTAAATGACTTTCAGCCAGTAGTTTTCTCTCAATGCAACCTATTACACCAGATTACTACAGAAATGAGGCAGGACCTTTATGTATTTCATTTTTTTTAAACCCCTAGAGAAAAGCGGGTTGCAATAATAATTGCAATCAAATAATGCTTGTTAAGAAATTCAGGAGAATTCTGTGGCACGCAAGAGACAGCATCACCTTTTTACAAAAGTAGCCATTTGGGGCAATATATTACCTCAGCTGCTCTTGTTTTTGTTTTTACACGGAAGGAGGTTTTGCAAGAAATGCTAGTAATTAATTCCATGCAAACATAACAAGAGTTGAGGACAGCAAGTCCTTTATTTTTTTGCTGGAAGAAAAAATGATACACTGTAAAATAATATAACCACTTAGAGCAAAGGTCCATAGATAGTGTTAGACTCAGTAGCAATTAGGGACAGCTCATAATAAGCATTGTTTGGCCAATAACATAAAACATAATATAGATAATGACAGGGTGCCCAGATAGACACATGATAATATAATTTATTGGTGGATGTTTTAACTGGGTAATAAGAAACTAAAGCACAGATCATCTCAAACCCCTTAATACTGACTGACAAAGGACTGGATTTAATGAATGGTATACAATGACTGATGTTAGTGCGAAAATATTGCTATTAAAAACTATGCCTAATTAAGATATCCATTAGGAGCTGGTCATGTTAATTTGCTATGAAAAATAGAATGAGGCTTTTAAAAAGAAAGGAAAAAAGGGCTAATAGTGTAGTTAAATGATCCCTGTAGACTATGAATAAGCAGCAATCCTATTTCATGAGAAATACTTTGCAACTTATAAAACTGTCCACATTTATAAGCACACAAATAAAAAACAATGCAGTTATTTGTCAGTGAGAAACTTCCTATAAAGACTTTTATTAATACAACCTCAAGAACTTGCTAGTTTTAACTTCTAGACATATGGAAAGTTTGAACAATTCTTACAAGTTGAAATGGTCAAACTCTTCATTCCTGTCTTATTATGTCTTATTAGTGCCGCATAACGGGGTGAGCTCCCGTTACTTATCCCAGCTTCTGCCAACCTAGCAGTTCAAAAGCACATAAAAAATGCAAGTAGAAAAATAGGGACCACCTTTGGTGGGAAGGTAACAGCGTTCCGTGCGCCTTTGACATTTAGTCATGCTGGCCACATGGACACGGAGACATCTTCGGACAGTGCTGGCTCTTTGGCTTTGAAACGGAGATGAGCACCACCCCCTAGAGTCAGGAACGACTAGCATATATGTGCGAGGGGAACCTTTACCTTTACCTTTAAAGACTACAGTAATAGTTAGATGAAGGCCTTCCTGATCCATACAGTCCTGGATCCTTCCTAATTTATACCTAATTCATTCTTCTTTTACTTTGGATCTTTTAAAGGTGTTACAGTTCATACTGTTGTCGATGAATTTTCAGGCCATGTACTGTATACAAGAACATCCATTTATTGCAATAACTTTATTAGTAATGATGTTGCTGTGGTTTGGCTTAATTGTGCATCAAGGTTTTCCTACACATCCAAGTGGTCAACCTTGATGGTATATGAGAAAGACCTTGGGAGACTGAACAAAGAGATGCTGCCAAGGAATCAGTCAGGTAAGAGGCAGCATAGACCACAACTTGATAGTGGGTGAGGCAAGAGGTTCAAAAGAGGTCCTCCCTAGGCTATAAGGAGACAGCAGTGAGTGACTGCACTTTTAGACTTGCAAGATCCCTTGCAAGATAGAAATCACAACCAGATGAACTAATTGTACTTTATTGTAAAGTTTCATTGACAGAATCTTGCAAGTCTGAAAGGACAGTCCTCTCCCCCACCCCATCTCCCTTACAGCCCAGGATGTAGAGAGGTTATCTTCTGCATCTGGCCCTACCCACTATCCAGTTGCAGGCTATGCTGTCTCTTATCTGATCCAGAAAGTCTGTAGAGATTCTCAGTCATCCAGGTCATGGTTGTCCCAAAGGTGCTTCCCCCCCCGCCCAGGAGGCAACTGGACTTTCTTGTTTTTTCTTTTGAAGATGTTTCACTTCTCATCCAAGAAGCTTCTTCAGCTCTATCAGGATAATGGGGAATGGAAATATTTATATTCCTTGCAGACAGCTGAATTCATTTGCATTCTTTTTAGAGAGTCATTGAGGCCATTTGGAGGTTCATCTCTGTCCTTGGTGTCACCTGAGTAGTTCTCCTGGTTCCTGTAGGCTGCCATTTTACCTCTGGAAATCCATTCCTACTCCCATGCCATTCAAAGGGGGGCCTTATCTGATCATTCCCTTGGCAGCATCTCTTTGCCCAGTCTCCCAAGGTCTTATCTACATACCTGTCACGTTGAGGCTCAGGACCTCGCACAGCACCTCGGAATTTGGGGAAGCTGGTAGTATTGTTAAGGTTAGATTCGGGTTAATGTCAGGGTTCCAAGTAACACCCCTAATGAAAGAAGACTCTGAGGCTTGAGTTTCCTCAAAGTTCCATTTTATTAGAGATGTCATATTGGCACAACTGGGAAAACCCGAATTTGAAAGCTTCCAGGTTTTCCCCACCCAAAGGAAAGTTCAAGTCCCTGCCCAGCACCCACATGTCCATCACATGGTCCAATCAAGCACCATTCAAAAGTGGAGATGCCTCCCAGTCACCTCATCGCAGCTGCCGGTCACTGTGGCTTTGATTCTCTGAGAAAAGAATGTTATTTTGTATAGAGGGGGATTGTATAGAGACCCATACTCTATACAATCCCCCCTCCCATTTTCCCACAGTAGAAAATGTAGCAGGCTTGAAGGCCCAACTGTAAAAGATGGCTTCCAGATCTGACAATATCATTACACCATTCATCTTTTTCATCCTTTTGAAGCTGGAAGAGCTATTGGTTGCAGTTGCAGTACCCAATACTGCCAATATCAGTTAAGGCTGATATTAGATAATGATTGTCATGCTATTATCATTCACACACATTTGTTTACAGATTCAGACTTACCTTAAGTATAAGTATATGCAAAGTAAAAACGATATGCTGTACTGCTACAAGAAGTATCATACTAAGTCTGACAAACTTATGCAGGCTATTATTCGTTGAAATGCTTTCTGACTGAGGGTACAATTTTATATATGCTTGCTAAAATGTAAGCAGGATGCCAGGCAACCCTTCCCTATTGACTCGCCACATCCAGCTGCCCAAATCTTCTCATTTCACAGCTGACTGGAACGGTTAGAAGCTGAAAACAAGGGAACTATAAGATAAAATGTGGGAGTATTTCAGTTCCTTATGAATGGCTAACTTCCTTGCAGGGTTTATCACAAAAAGGAGAGATGAACACTCAAGCAACTTGGCAAGAGGATTACTTAGCAGGGAATTCATGTGCGTTTTTGTATACAAAGGGAGGGTCCTTAGGTCTTCATAAATGCTGGCATCTGTGCATTGTTCCACATGAACAATCCATATCAAAGACAATGATTACCTTTCTAATAGAATTTGGCCATCCATCTACCTTAACCTGACGGGCGGCAAATGAAATAGAAAAATACTTGTGGATGTGTTGGATTTTTAGGTGCTCATTGAAGTTTTTATGCATAACACGAGGCCTTCTCCTGACCTACTTAATTTGTTATGTTGTGTAAGACAAAAATATGGTAGTTTGAAAGCTATGGGTCACATTATTTGTAGCTTTCAGCCAATTTTTACAACCCACACAGTCCTAAGTTCAAGTCATCAAAATTTGACAGCCAAACATATGTGATAGGATGGAATAGGAAGATAAAAGGAAAAAAAGAAGAGAAAGGAAGGAGAAAGGAAAGAGAGGAGAGGGGAAGGGAAAGGAGAGGAAGGGAAGGGAAGGGAAGGGAAGGGAAGGGAAGGGAAAGAAGATAAAAGGGGAAAGGAAAGGAAAGGAAAGGAAAGGAAAGGAAAGGAAAGGAAAGGAAAGGAAAGGAAAGGAAAGGAAGAAGTAATTTTTTTTTATTTTTGATTTATATGCCGCCCTTCTCTGGAGACTTAGGGCGGCTTACAATGCGCTAAGCAATAGCCTTCATTCTTTTGTATATTTATACAAAGTCAGCTTATTTCCCCCACAACTGGGTCCTCAATTTACCTACCTTAGAAAGGATGGAAGGCTGAGTCAACCTTGAGCCTTGGCGAGATTCAAACCTGCAGTAATTGCAGGCATCTGGTCTTAATAACCAGCTTAATAACAGGGTGCCTTAGACCACTGTACTACCAAGGCTCTAATTGATGAGGAAGGGAAGGAAAATGTGAGTTTAGGTCCCTCATATTTCTACTGGACATAACAGAATTAATTTACCTTAATGCTGACTCAACTAACCTACAGAAAAACCTCCACTTCCCACAACCCTTGGATAGTTCTCCTAAATGTGTGATCTTTAGTTGCAAAAATATTGCTTTTTTGTGACTGATGGATTGGAGCACTCATGCAAAAGAGGACACTGTGCTTGTCTCATACAAGGAACTTCTGGGGCGTTGTCTGCCTATGACAACTTTCAGTTCAATTACTTCTACATTCATCTAAGGAGCTTTATTAATCAGAAAATAAGATGTGAAGTGCTGCAATACTTATTATTTTATTGATTTTGGATTCAATCTCTCAAGGGTACTTTGGAGTTCAAATGTAACACCCTAAAGCAGCTGTACTATCTCAAAAAAAGGATTTGTTCTCCTGTAAGTTCCATTGCACTTTTTGGACACTGAGTCCTGAGCAGTCTAGATAGATGATGGATGGACGGATGAATATAACTAAAATTGCATGATCTAGATCTATGCATTTAACATTCAGATTCTAATTCTCCAAGCAGGAGTTAACATAGTTCAATTTGCAGCCCAAGAGTAGCATGTATAGACTTGAGGAGTTTCAGTGAATTAAATTTGAATAATATATCTTAAGCAGTTTGGTTTAGTGCCGTGATGGCGAATCTATGGCACGCAAAGCCATGTCACCCGGCATGCGTGGCCTTGCCTGTTTGTCTTCTGGGTTTCTGGCACACATGACCACGCTACAATCAGCTGTCCATGCATATAGCAGTGCCGAAAACCAGTGTGTGCATGCGCACTGGCCAGCTGATTGTCAGGTGCATGTGCGCCCAGAACCCGGAAGTTTGGCTTTTCTGGAGCGTAATCCATTTGCGTGTGCGACAATGCCAAAAAACGACCTGTCCATGCACGCTGGCCAGCTGATCATTGGGCACGCATGCGTGCTAGAACCCAGAAGTTCGGCTTTTCCAGAGCATGGCCCTGTCAAGCGTGCACATGTGATGTTTCTGTGTGACCTTTTCGGCACTCGGTGCCAACAAGGTTTGCCATCACTGATTTAGTGGCTAAAGCTACTAGGCACGGACCAGGGACACCACGAATTCTAGTCCTGTTTTAGGCATAAAAACAGATGGTGACTTTAGGCCAGTCCTACTCTCTGGTCCCTAGAATATAGGCAGTGGCAAACCACTTAAAGAACCAACTGTTGCTAAGTCCATATAGTTGCCAGAAGTTAAATCGGACTCCAAGACACCAACTCCAAAAAAAATACCCTTTAAGATACACTTGTAAAAGAATACTAATGGTAAGTTGATTTATAACACTGTTGAAATTGGAAAGAAAAATTCACACTATTGAGACTGGGTTAGATCTGTACTCTGTACAGGCCTTGACATTTCTACTTTAATAAATGCAAAGATGTGTGTAAATAGAGAAGAATGGCATGTCCTTCTATATTTTACAGCTTACATTCTGTTCTACACTTTGGAAAAGAACTCCCCCATTGATGATTGGATCATGGAGACCATCAGTGGAGACCGACTTACGCATCAAATTATGGAGCTGAATCTGGATACAGTATATTACTTCAGAATACAAGCTCGAAATGCCAAAGGAGTGGGGCCTCTCTCTGACCCTATTCTCTTCCGGACTCTTAAAGGTTTGGGCCTGCTCTTTATTTGTGCTGACATTATTGAAAAAGCTTAGGAGACAGTAAAATATTACTCATGTTTCCATGTTGACATTAGAAGGGCCCAAACCAGGCCCTGTGAGATTCTATTGGTAAAATTGTGAAATAGTTTGGTATAGTTAATTATAACCAGATAAAATCAATGAATAATAGTATTATACATACAGTATATCAGTTTTTATATATATACCATTTTTGGTGTGTGTGTGTATGAATGAATAATTGAAGATGTATTTTGCAAACAAGACTGGGCAAAATATGGAGTAAAAATCAATAGCTAAAGGTAAAGGTTCCCCTTGCACATATGTGCTAGTCATTCCCAACTCTAGGGGGCAGTGCTCATCTCTGTTTCAAAGCCGAAGAGCCAGCGCTGTCCAAAGACGTCTCCATGGTCATGTGGCCAGCATGACTAAATGCCAAAGGCACACAGTGCTGTTACCTTCCCACCAAAGGTGGTCCCTATTTTTCTAGTTGCATTTTTTTTACGTGTTTTCGAATTGCTAGGTTGGCAGAAGCTGGGACAAGTAACAGGAGCTCAGCCCGTTACGTGGCAGTAGGCATTTGAACCGCTGAACTGCCGACCTTTCAATCGACAAGCTCAGCGTCTTAGCCACTGAGCCACCATGTCCCTGTATGATGACATTAGAAGGGCCCAAACCAGGCCTTGTGACATTCTACTGGTAAAATTGTGAAATATCTTAGTATAGTTGATTATAACCAGATAAAATCAATGAATAATAGTATTATACATACAGCATATCAGTCTATATATATATACCACTTTTGGAGTGTGTGTATGAATGAATAACTGAAGAAGTATTTCGCAAACAAGATTGGGCAAAATATGGAGTAAAAATCAATAGTGCCTATTTAAATCACTTAAAATTTGCAGATGATATTGTTCTCTACTCACAACACCCAGAACAGCTACAAAAATCAGCTTAAAAATAAACCTGAAAGAGAGCCAGGTTATGTTTAATAAATTTGCTAAAGAAAGAAATATACTGTAGATATAGATAGATAGATAGATAGATAGATAGATAGATAGATAGATAGATAGATAGATAGATAGATCAATCCAGAACTAGTCATAGTAGACCACTACAGATACCTTGGCCAATGGATCTCAATGGAAGATGATACAATAAAGGAAATTGAACAGTGTGTAAAATGTGGTTGGCAGGCATTTGGCAAGCTAAGCATAATTTTCAAAAACGACCTCCCCCTTTGCCTGAAGAGAAAAGTTTTCAATCAGTGTATGCTACCTACTCTAACATATGCCGGTGAAAAATGGATGCTAAACTCACAATCAATACAAAAGCTACGAGTGGCGCAGAGAGCCATGGAAAGATACATGCTCAGCATTACAAGACATGGTACAATGACCTGCACATGGATTCAAGAACAAATGAAGGCATATGATATCAAGAGAATAAAAGAATTGCAATGGAAACGGGCTGGTCACATAGCAAGAAGAATTGATGGCAGGTGGACCAAGGCAGTCATAGAATAGATCCCACTTGATATAAAAAGCATCCACAAAAGAGACCTAAAACAAGATGGATTGATGGCATCAGCAAGTATTGTGTATTATATATATATATATACACACACAAACAATCAGTGGTATATATATACTGATATATGTATAATGTACTGACACTATTGCTCAGTCATGGCTTGGAAGAATGAAGTGGTTGTGTGTTCCATTAAAACCATGGAGGAATAAATGAATAGCGTTGTCCCAGTTTTACTGCTGTTTTTGACCCAGGCTTAGCTCATTTGTTGTGATTCAATTTTTCAGGGTAGAGGAGATCCTTTTTTGTCTGGAATATGGAAAAATTAATATGTTCAGTTGAATTGTTTCATTGCTCCACCAAAATTTAATAACATTATATTATACAAGATTTTTTTTGTTCTCTACAAAAATAATAATAATAATATGTCCTGTGTGCTGACTATACTGTACATCTTTAGGGCAATATTTTATCTATAGATATTAATTTAAAAGAGCAGGGGTCTCCAATCTTGGCAACTTTAAGACTTGTGGACTTTAACTCCCAGAATTCCTCAGCCAGCTTTGCAAGTCTTAAAGTTGGAGACCCCTGCAATAGAGCCTAAAGTTTCTTGAATACATTTCAGGAATCCTTCTTTTAGAAGATAAATAATATGGAGACAGGTCCTACCAGTAAAATGGATTTGAACCATAGCTCATTTTTGTGGCATGCATATATACTGAGGAGAAGTAGTTAAAACACCAGGCTAGGAACCAGAAGATTGTAAGTTTTAGTCCCATCTTAGACACAAAGCCAGTTGAGTGACCTTGGGCCAGCCACATCCTCTCAGCCCTAGGAAGTAAGCAATGGCAAACAACTTCTGAAATCTTGCTAAGAGATCTTCAGGGACTTAACAAGGTAGCCTTCAAGAATTGGACATGATTTAATGGAAAATCTCTCTCTCTCTCTCTCTCTCTCTCTCTCTCTCTCTCTCTCTCTCTCTCTCTCTCCCTCCCTCCCTCCCTCCCTCTCCCTCTCCCTCTCCCTCTCCCTCTCCCTCCCCCTCTCTCTCTCCTCCCCCTCCCCTCTCTCTCTTAGAAACAATCTCATCCCTAAATGTCTCAAAGCATTAAAGAGTTAATCAACTCTAAATCTTTACATCTAAATTGTAGTAAAAGATCAGCAAAGTCTACAAAATTCAGGTTCTGAACCATCAATCTCAATCTTTCTTCTCTCTCTAGTTGAGTTAAAGACAAGGAAAGACATCCTTCTAGCATGATTTCAGCTGAGTTAGAAAACTGTCCCAGCTGGGAGAAGGGTGGAAAATCAGAATAAAATATTCACAGGGAACAAAAGAGCTAGTGATGAAGTTGGATCCTTTTAGAGAGCTGACTGATGGGTTGATCTGAGAGTGCTAATATATTCTGAGTCTTATTTGGTTCTTGCTGTATTGTGTTTTGCTGGGTAGATGTGCATTCCTGCCATGAAGATTAGCTGCTGGTGTAAAGCTGCAATACATATTCTCCCTTTCTCTTCGTCTTTGGTGAATTCCTTGACTTTGTTTTACATAATAAAAACATTTATTTTCTTCTGCAATCAGTACTAAGCCTGCTAGGGAATTTAGCTTCTCTGATACCACAATTACAAGACAACCAAGAATGGGATTTTTCACTCTCTTCCTTCTGAATGCAGGGGGGATTTTTCTTCTTAAAGAGTGTGTGGTGATAACAGGCAGAACAAGCTCCCATGGAAGTGTGTGAGGTGGGTGAAACAATAGAACTGTAAGCAGGGGTGGGCTTCAAAAATTTTAGCAAGGGGTTCTCTGCCCGGTTGCTTGGTGGGCGTGGCCATGGTGGGCGTGGCCTAGTCGGCCTCCTGCACCATGGCGGGGAGGTGTTTCTGCCCTCCCCTGGCTCCGGAGGCTTTCCTCGAGCCTCTGGGAGGGCAAAAACAGCCTCCCCAGACTCCAGGGGCCCTCTGGAGACAGGAAATGGGCCCATTTCTAGCCTTCCCGAACTTCCGGTAGGCCTGTTTTTCAGCCTCCCCGAGCCTCCACGCGTGCCCTGCACTTACCTGCATCCAAAACGGGCCACATGGGGACTCCTGGGAGGGGAGGTGTGGGTGAGGCCAGCCAGGACTGGGATTTGGGGGGTCTCTGAGCTGCACAGAATCTTAGCTAGAGGTTCTCCCGAACCCCTGCAAACCCCCAGTAGCCCACCCATGACAGTAAAGCAGGGTTTAGGGATCTCTGCTTGAGAGATCTACCACATTCCCCTATATACTCATGCAATTTACACTTGTATCACCAAATATCGCATGCATTAATGCAAACCATATGTGCCAATGTACAAATGATCACACATAGAATCAGAGAGACAGAGATACTGGTACCCTTTGTGGCTTTAGTGCATCATGTGTGGGATTTGCACCCTGGTAAATGAAGCACAGATGGCATTCGAAGAACTGTTACAGGGGAGCAATCTTTTTTTAGATTAAAATAACAATTTATTACCCATCTTCCTACTGAGGAACATCTTTGGGAGCTGGCAGTTGACGGTTGCTCTTTTTTAGATCATTTTGTTTCCTTTCCTCCCCTTTTATAAAGCAGCTCGGATACGCTTTTATTTTCCTTATAATGGTGTAGTGTCATTCCAGATCATTGTGGGGAAAATATTATCTTTCAAGGAATTAGGAGGTAAAGCAATGATCAGCCCGACTGCTAAAACATGAACAGCCCTCCTATTTTTCCTACATCAAGTAGTAGGAAGGAGAGAAAAGGGAAGTTAAAGGAGGATCTGTGTCAGCCAGAACTGTAAAGAAAAGCCACTTCTCAATTTGGTTAGAAGATTTTACTCCCTTAATGAAAGAGGCAGAGAAATGCCTTCTTGCAAGAAACAGGAAATTTATTCTCCAATACTCCTTAGCTAAATTTGCCCCCAGACTGGAACATCTAGCTAAGCAGAGCCTGAAGGAAGCTTGATCATAATTGCCTCTGTTTTAAAGAATCTATAATAACAATCATTTCCATGAGGTTATATAAAGGAGGCAGCTATGTTAGGGGGTGGGGGAATTGAAACTTTTTAAATTAAAGTTATTGTTTGTTTGTTTATATTTCATACTTCTTGACCGTTTATTTCCCTCAGAGAAGGGCTGTGCATTAAAAACAGAATATATTTTTTTTAAAAAATGTAATACAACATAAAATTTCAAATGATGGAGAGTTGCAAGATGGGGAGGTTAGCCCTTGTTAATACAGGTAGGTGGGTGGGCGGGCGGGCGGGTGGGGGGGGTGTCTCATGGGGCCAAGCAGACCCATTACTCTGTGGGGCTTCCTTATCTCTGAGGGAAAGATGTTTAGGGACAGTGGCAGAACAGATCCTCTTCCTAGACCCCGTGTAAGTTCCAGCCTCTCCCCCTAATTCAAGAAAGTAAAGACTCTTGAAACTGGGTATTTCAAAAGGAACCTTTTATTGA